GTGGCAGGTGCAGCCGTGGGGGGAGATAATGGCAGCCGTTCTGTATCCTGGCATAAGAGCAGTTCCAGCTAGCCGGAGGAGTTGCAGAGAGGGGGAAGCCAGGTGACTGGTTTGCCCAGGAAAAGGCACAAAAGATGGGGCAGAGGCAGCTGGGCGCGACTAAGGGTAGGCAGCTAGAAGCTGGTCAGTCTCCTAGTTTAGGATTTGAGGGTTAGAGCTCTAGATTGTGTTCCAGGCGACTAACAAACCCTTTGGTTTCACAGCACTGGCTGAGGGTTAAGGTTGACTGTGGAGTCTGGGGGTGTATGGCTCCTTTAGGGATATGTAAAGGCTTCCCTAGGTGCCCTATTCAGTTGGCATCACAGTGGGGAGCTCAGGGCATGAAACAGGGGCGCTGAATGCTCCTGAGATCTGACCTAGGAGGCGCTGAAGCCAAGCAGGCTGGCCCTGGTGTAAACGTGCCTGGTGACAGAGTCCTGTGGATCCGTGGAGATCTGCCTTCTATCCGCTCGTATCTGCATCTGTCTGGGCTGGGCAGGGACTGTCTCTTTCTCCTGTGGCGCCCTGTTCTGTGGCTGGGGCTCTGAGTTGTAACGGTAATAAAATCCTAAATAACTATAATCACAAAGGAATCTTAAGCCCTCAGGTATTCACTTCTTTGGTGGCTTAGACAGCATTACCTCTCCTTGGCGGGAGCAAAGTGAGGTTCGGACAAAAGGCAACGTGCTGCCGAACCATGTTTAAAGATTACAGACCTTATTGCCATGGCAATGTCAGAACTGACAGGCCCCAGCTTCTTCATCTGGATCTCTGAAAGACTCGAGACATCTGTGCTGAGGATGGAGATGTGCCAGGTGCTTAACCCATGCAGTGGCTCACCGGTGGCCTCCCTGTCTGAATGTGGGGGGAGGGAGAGCAGGGAGGAGGTGGTAAGAGTTTTTGTTAACATTTAAGATGCTCTTCTCTTACTCTCTGTGGAAAACAAAGCAGATGGGGGAAATGACTTGGCCGAGATCTCAGTGCGTGTTACTGGAAGAGCTGAGAAAAGAATGAGGAATCCCAACTGCTGTAGATACCAGTGCTTGCTAGTTTTCTTTTCTTTTTTCTTTTTTTTTTTTTTTCCAATGACTGAGCGTTCATGAGTCGCCAGCAGCTGTAAAAATACCTGGAAGAAGAGTTTTTTTTTTTTTCTAAATAATCTTTATGGTGATATTTGTAAGAGAGAACCTGGTTCGTGACTGCCTGCAGAATAGTCAGGTCACTGGTTCCCAACGCGGTACCTGCGGGTGCCATGGCGCCCGCCGGGCCATTTCTGTGCACCCGCCGAGTGATTGGGGCTGCCCGCCGAGTGATTGGGGCTGGGGCCGCCCGCCCCCAG